GGGCGGGAGGCGCAGCGCCTGTTCGGCCCGCGGCTGCTGGCGGCGCTGGCCGAGTTCTGCGGGCGCAGCCGGTTTCTGAAGGACGTGAAGAGCGAGTGGATCGGGGCGCGCAGCGGTGGCCGCAGGTTGGGGGGGGGGACGGCGCGGGTGGACGGGGGCGGGTTCTGGGAGGGCCCCCAGCTGGCGGGGCCGGCCGAGCACTGCAGCATGGCTTCACTGCCACCCTCCTCACGCCCCATGCATCCATGGTCACGAGCAGCTGTGTTTTTTCCGCAGCCGCTGTCGCTTGTTGACGCGCCCGCCCGCCTTCCTGGCGAACGCCCGGCTCCCCGGCCCTCCCGCCCCGCGACCCGCAGGCGCGCAGGCGGCGTCGCGCTGCCGCCGCCGTCGTCCGCAGCCGACCCCGAGCTGCTGGCGCGGCTGGAGGAGGCGGGGGTGCTGCGGGAGCCCAAGGTGGGGGGCTGGACAGGGTGCTGCTGGCGCTGTCGCTGCTGCTGCCGCTGCCGCTGCCGCTGCTGCTGCTGCTGCTGCTGCTGCTGCTGCTGCTGCTGCTGCTGCTGCTGCTGCTGCTGCTGCTGTCTGCAGCCTACGGCCCTTGGCCAAATATAGCGAAAAACTGGCGTGCGCTGCAACCCGTGCCGAGCCCCGCCTGTCATGCAGGCGCTCGCCAACCTGCTGCTGCACGCCGGCCCTCCTGCGCCCTGCCCCGTCCCCTCCGCCCCACGCCACCCCCGCTCCCACACGCACACACGCACACACGCACACACACACGCGCGCACACACACACACACACACACGCGCGCACACACATGCAGGGCGCGGCGTTGGAAGCCCTGAAGAGATGGCAGGCGGGGGAGAGCGCCGAAGCCATTGCCACCAACAGGCCCAAGCCCATCCAGGCGCGCGCCCGCCCACGCAGCCGGGCGGCCGGCTCCGCAGGCATCAGCCGGCACCCCCGCGCCCCCACAACCTGCAGCCTGCCGGGCCCTGCACACTGCGACCTGCGTGCCCTAGCTCCCGCCGGCGCCCGAGCCGTGCACCGAATGACGTCATCCCTCGTCCTCGCCCCCTAACCCGTCCAGGTGGCGACGGTCCTGGGGTACCTGGCAGAGGGGGTGGCATACCACCACCCGGAGGGCCTCCACAAGCTGCTGGCTGAGGCTGGCCTCTCAGACGGCCCCAGCGCTGGCGGCAGCGGCAGCGGCGGCGGCGGCGGCGGAGGCGGGGCCGGCGCCCTGATCTGGCGCGTGCGGGCGGCGCTGCTGAGCGGCGGGGAGGTGGCGAACCTGCGGGCGGCGAAGGAGCGGGTGGGGGAGGCGGCGGGGTACGGCCAGATCAAGGTGAGGTGATCTGGATGTGGAGGGGCGGGTCTCATGTCATCCGCGCAGATCGCGGACGACTGAGGTGGCGCGACAGCCCGGGTGCTCTGGAAACCACAGAGCTTGGGCGACTACTTGCGACCCCCATGGACCTGCGGGGGCTGCGCGGCCAATTGATGGCTGGGGCAGACTCCTGCGCTGCGCGCTCTGCAGCTCAGGCTCCCGGCGCGGGGTGGCGGTTGACGCGCGCCCAGCACATAGCTTCCTCCTCAGGCCGCATCGCCGTCATGTGTGCCAGCCAATCACAGCACGCACCCGAGCTCTGTGCGCCCCTTGCTCGCCCCCGCCGCGCCGACCCCGAAACCCCGCAGGCGGTAGGTGCGGCCCTGGCGCTAGGCGCTCTACCTGACGAGCTCGCCGCCGCAGCCGCCGCCTCGCCGACCCTCGCGGCCGCACGCGCGGGCCCGGGCCCGGGCCCGGCGGGCGCACCGGCGGCGGGCCACACCATTGCTGCCTGGTCGGTGGACTTGGTAGATCAGGAGGCGCCAGAGGATGATCTCGACTTGCCGGCAGCGCAGCGGCAGCAGCAGCAGGGGCAGCAGCAGCAGCAGCAGCAGCAGCAGCAGGAGCAGGGGCAGCAGCAACAGCAGCAGCAGCAGCAGCGGGGGGAGCAGCAGCAGGGGCCGCGCCCCCTGCCGCCGCACCTGGCGCGCGTGCTGCAGCCGCCGGGGCCAGAGGCTCTGGAGGTCCACCGGCGGTGGCTGCAGGGGCTGCCGCTGGCGCAGGCGGGCGCTCTTGGGAGTGGCGTCGAGCTGGCGGTGCGCCGGGGGGCGCCTCGGGCCCACCGGCGTGGCTGCGGCAGGAGGGCGTGGCGATGGCACTGCTGACCGACTTGACCGCGTTTGCCGCCCTGACCACCTGCCTTGCAAGAAGGCTGCAGGTGCTTCGCGCTCCAATTGCCGGCGGTTTTTTTTGCAGAATCGTCCTGGAAGCCCCAAAGCCACCTTGCAACCGCCGCCAACCACCAACCGCCAGGCCCCCCAAGTGGTCGGGTACATCGCTGACGTCATCGCCGCGCAGGGCCCGGCCGCGGGCAGCGCGCGCCAGCTGGCGGCCGACGCGCAGGTCACGGACGAGACCGCCGCGCGCGTAGGCGCGGCGCTGCGCGCGCGGGGCGCGCGCGGGCTGTGGGCGGTGCGGCAGGCGCTGCCGGACGGCGTCGGGAACGGGACGATCAAGGTGGTGGCGGCAATGTGCGCCGCTGGAGAGGGCAGTTGGGACAAGGATGACGAGGAGCAAGGGCACGAAAATGAGCAGCAGCAGCAGCAGCAGCAGCAGCAGCAGCAGCAGCAGCAGCAGCAGCCGATGCCGGTTGACAGCCAGCCGGACCCCTCCACATTCAGTTTCCCTGATGCGGCGCCGGTCGGCAGCGTCGGGCTGCCGAGCTGCTGGACTGCCAGGGGCAGCAGCCGGCAGCAGCAGCAGCAGCAGCAGCAGCAGGCGGGGCAGGCAGCCAGCGGCGGCGGCAGCCAGGGGAGCCTGCAGCTCGACTTGAGCATGGCGAGCATGGCTGCATCGCAGAGCACGCCAGCTCAGCAGCAGCAGCAGCAGCAGCAGCAGCACATCAACGAATGGCAGCACTGGGCGCCGGCGCACCCGCAGGACGGGCCCCTCAGCGACGCTAGCAACCTCCACCCCGCCGCCGCGGACGGCGCCTCTCAGCAGCCAGACAGGTTGCCGCCGGGCGGCAAGCGCCACGCGCCGTTCGGCGAGCAGCCCGCAGGGCCGGGTGCCGGGGAGCCGGCCGCCAAGCGGGCGCACCAGGCGGCTGCGGACGGCAGCTGCCACGAGCAGCAGCAGCAGCAGGTGCAGCCACAGCGGCAGGTTTGGGGGGCTGGGGGCGAGGGCAGGGCGGGCATCAGCGAGGACGCGGTGCTGCGGGCCCTGGAGGAGTGTGGCGGCGCCGCGGCCGCCCCCGACCTCGCGCGCCGCCTCGGCTGCGCGCCGGGGGAGGGGCGGGAGCGGCGGCTGGCGGCGGTGCTGTCTGGGCTGGTGGGGGAGGCCGTGTACATGCGGGGGCCGCGGGCATCGAGCGCGGACGCGCTGCAGGTGCTGTGGGACCCGGACACGCAGTTCTGCCTGCTGTGAGGGGCGGGCGGCTGCGGGGGCGGCCGCGCGTTCGCGGGTGGGCGTGAGCCCGGTGGTTTAAATCGCAGAGATGATGGGGTGTGTGGTCCACACGTGAGCTGTAACTCGCGGAAGAGATGACGAAATGTTGCTGAACACGAGCTTGGCAGTGCTTTGTAGCGTTTGGCGATGCGGCAGCGCACAAGATGGTCAAAATCATGCGGCCTGCTGCAACTGCTGGTCAACCAGATGCTTCGCGCTGCAGGCTCGGGATGACAGCCCTAGGATGGGGCCGGGCGAGCCGCGGGTCGCATGCAGGCGCAAGTAAGCAGGACGCCTTATTGACAAAGGGGTGGACCGACCAGCCCTGGCTTTGCGGGGCAGGCTCGGCCGCGCTTCACCGCATCCTTCTGCGCGCTGGCGGGCACCGTCACGGCCGCTTGTGGGTACCGTAGTTCCAGGTTACATGGTTGAACGGTACGTGGCTAGTAAAAGACGTTACCCAAACTCAACTTTATGTTACACGTGTTTCGTGTATAGGGGCCGAGTGAGCAATGGCCGATCTCTCACCACCTGAGCGCCTGTCCACGACACTGGGCGATGGGCGCCACGTCGACATTTGGATGGTACCATCGACGGGCTGGGAGACCAACTTCGTCGTGCAGGTGGCCATGCGCGTGCGGAGGGCGCTTGCACCGCTGCTCGTGCCAAAGTCCGCTCCCACCGTCACCGGTGGCGCGGTTTGCCGCCGGCGCCTTTCCCCTTGCGCCCCGGCCCCGAAATGTTCGAATCGCCCGGCTGCAGCATTTGGATTGCAACACACCCGCAGCGTCACTTGTTTGAGCAGTGCCCACTGCTGTTGAGGGGTGGCAGGACCCGCGCACGCGGCTGCATCTTTGCGCTAAGCAAGCCAGACGCGCCACGCGCCCTCAAACCTCCGGCGCAACCACGTTGTACGATCTGCCTTGAAGGAGGTGCTGTCATCGGATGAGTACTTCCAGCACGGGATCAGCTTGGCCCCAGGTGACACAGTCGTCGACATCGGCGCCAACATCGGTGCGCGCACACGCGCGCGTCGGAGCGTGCACCCGCACGCCGGCCCCCTAGCTGGTTGCACGCTCCCTCCCTTACACACACGCTCCCTTGCCGGACCCGCCAGAAGCACTCGTGCTCAGCATTGGCAGCGCCCGCCAGCTAGCCGCAAACCCTAAACCCTTTGCCGTGGCGGCCGCAGACCCCGGCACACTCCCCACACGTGTGCGCTGCAGGCACGTTTGGCATCCGCGCGCTCTCAAAGGCGCAAGGCGTGCGCTACGTCGCCGCCGAGCCGGCGCCGCCTACCTTTGAAGTTTTAAAGGCAAACCTCCTCGGCTCCGACGGCCAGGGGGCTGGGTCGTTCTTCGACCTCAACCGGAAAGACTATGGGCATGCGCTGGCGCCGCCCTACCCAGGTGAGCAGAACGTGCCGCGACGGGGGAACCGGGCGCTCTGCGGCGGGCTCCTGATACTCTCAACACTCCACGGCCTCCTCAAGTGTAGGGTGGACCTGGTGGTTTTCCAGCACCATCCAGCCCTGAAATGCGCGCGTGCGCCACCACCATGCGCGCCGCCGGCGCGCTGCTCCCAGGCAATGTCACGCTGGTCAACGCAGCGGTGACGTCAGCGCCCGGCACCCTGCCCTTCACCTGGTACCCCTCTGCGCCCGGCAACAGCACCCTGGTGCCCGATGAGAAGGTCGCCATGCAGGCGCGCTCGGTTGCCCAAGGGGCGGGCCGGCCGAAGCAAAGGCCAGGGCCGGGGCGGGTGTCGGGGTTTGTCAGGCTGGGTGTTGCGGGCTGTGCGGTGTCAATTTGTGGTTGGCCTTTGGTCATCTGGCAATCCACACGTGCCGACCTGCATTACGCATGCTGCCCGTGAAACCCCCCCTGCCCGTGCCCCAAACCCTCTCCAACCCTCTATCCATGTCCCCTCGACATCCCCAACCCTCAAACTCTCAAAGGGCTGGTTCATGTCTGAGACGCTGCAGGGGCCCCGCAGCTTTGACGTCCGCGCGCTGACCCTGGACGGCCTGCTGGCAGAGGCGGGGGTGGAGGGGCCCGTCGCGCTGCTCAAGGTCGGCGGCGAACGATGCCGAAAGAATGGCTGAGGGGGGGTGGTGCGTGACGGTGACAGTTGGCGCTACTGGGTGACTTCTGTGAACAGCGGGCCCCAACCCACGGCGGCTGCACGTTCCCAGGTCGGCGCTCGCCCGCACCGCTGCACTCATACTCAACAAAGCCTGTGGGTGTGGTCGTGATAAATAATGGGCGTCCTTGGCATCCATGGCCCCCGCCTCGCGCCCGCCCCGCCCCTCCCCGCCCAGGTGGACGTGGAGGGCGCTGAGCTGGACGTGCTGCGGGGGGCCAGCCCCGCCCTGCTGCAGCGGGTGCAGCAGGTGGTGCTGGAGGTGCACGACTGCCTGCCGGGTGCGCGGCGCGGCGCGGCGCAGGCGGCTTGCTTGTCGTTTCAGGGGGTGGCTGTGGCGCGGGGTGCGGAGCGGCGCAGCTTGCTTGTCCTTCAAGGGGGTTGCCCTGGCATGAAGGGGCTAAGCTGCCCCAATGTAGAAGCAGGAAAGCGGTGCACTTATGCAACGCAGTATTGCACCCACACACGCGCGCCCAACGCACGCACTCATCTCGACGGCGCTGTGCAACCCCGCCCTCCCCCTCAGGTGAGTTTGACCAGGGTGCAAGCCCGTTCACGGACGCCGCCCCCGGCCCCCTGGCCGACGCCCTCACCGAGGCGCGCGCTGCCATGGCGGCCTACAAGGCCGCCGCCGCCGCCAACCCAGAGTCCCCGCCGCCGCCGCCGCTTGAAAAGATGGCGAAGATCGTGCTGCCGGGCCCGCGCGGCGGCGGGATCGACGGGGACGCTGTGCGATTTGAGGAGACCAGCGCCATCGGCTTGCCCACGCAGCCGCCGCGCGACGGGGGCCGGACGATGGCGGTGGTTGAGCTGCTGCGGGCTGCAGGGTTCAGGGTGGTGGTGGCGTGCCCGTTGGGGTTGACCCTCAACTACTCGGTCTATGCCAGACGCTCGGCACCGGCTTAGTTGAAGAACAGATATTTGCAACGCTCTGCAGGTGGTTATGCTCTTGGCGCACTTGGCGCCACAAAACGTCTCGAGGATGAGTGCAAACCCTCACCCGCGTCCTCTCATGCGCTCCGCCCCCAGCCCTTTTTCAACCACCAGCCTCTTTACTCCGTCAAGCAGGTAGTGTGTGCTGTACCTTTCAATCGCAGTTTTTAAACCCTGGGATGAGCATGCAGGTGACTTGGTGCATCGATTCCAAGCGGCACTTTCGACAAAGCTCTCACCACCCACAACCCTGCCCACGCTGTTCAACCGGCACCCGCCCCCATCCCGACGGGTGATCAGCACGGGGGCTGCTTTGGTCATCATCATAAGTGACATTGCACTTGCGACGTGTGTGCGACCTTGACTGGCATTCCTGTGAATCCGGTAATATGAAGGATACTGCAAAACATCATCCCGACCAAAACATCAAAGCTAGGGAAGCTTCTTGGGGATCACTCAGGCCTCAAACCAGGACGACCCACGGGACGCTGTACGGTATACCGCACCACGCACGGGTGCAGGCGCGCACCGCTCCTGCGGCGCCTGTTGGCCCTTGTCCCTACGAGCCATGCACGCCGGCTTGCGTGCCGCCGCAGCAGGGGGGGGGGGCATGACAAATGATGACCGCACACTCGAGCTTCCCTCAAATGAGGTGCAAGCCGCATGAATGGGAGATGGCAGTGTCTGCTGCTTGGGCCTGGGCGGTCCAGGCCTCAGGGTCATGTGTTTCGAAACGCCCATGCCGGCGCAAACAACACCGGTAGCTGAGTCTCAACGGTCACATGCCGTGTTGCCACGGCTTCGCTGCAGGAGCAGGATCGGGGCAGAGAAGTGCATCTTAACAGCCTGGGAATCATATGCTAGGTTGGGCGCCATATCGAGCGCGCATTTCGCTCGCCCTCGTGGCCTTTCGGCACCGGGCACCGCCCGCGTGGCTCCGGCACTGCACCAACCGCGACTCGCGCATCGCACCCGCCCTCTTCCTCAAAGCCTGCTTGTGGCGGAGCCACACACACGTGGCAAAGATGGTGCGCCATGCATTGCAGGGCGGCTGCTGAGGGCGGTGGTGCTTGCCGCTTGCCACCGACACACCTGAATGAGGGCCCCTCTGTTCGTCCCTGCAGCCCAAGCAGATTAGTGAGATCAAGGAGTTCCTCCTGACGGCGCGTCGGAAGGATGCGCGGTCGGTGAAGATCAAAAAGACCCGTGGCCAGACCAAGTTCAAGGTCCGCTGCAGCAAGTACCTGTACACGCTGTGCGTGACCGACGCGGACAAGGCCGAGAAGCTCAAGCAGTCTCTGCCCCCGGGTGAGCGGGCTGGCAAGCGCTGCTCGCGCAGCGGCGCAAGCAGCGGCGCTTTCGCAGCGGCACACAATGGTATTGCTCGTGCAGCAACGCGTTGTACTTGAACCAAAGAGCATAAGTCAGTGAAAGAGGGCCCACACAAACAAGTTCAGCTCTATTGCAGACGTGCGCACACCAATAATCAGGCGGACGCACATTTTTGCAAATCGCCAAGCAGCAGCGCCGTGCCCGTTCTCGATTCTGTGTGGAGGCAAGGCGCTCGAGTGCTACATATCCAGCAGCTACGTACAGCTCTCCTTGGTCCGGCAGCGGCGCGGGCGGCACTAGCCGCAATCAGCAGCAATGACCGGCCGGCGCGGCATCAGCGACAGTGGCACCCGGGGCACCGCAGCTGTGTCGACGCGGGCGGCAGCAGGCGGCAGCAGGCGGCAGCAGTCTTCCAGTTCTTATATTTGTGTAGTTGAAGCCATGCGAGCCATCCACATGGTCTTCGCGTTCAGGCAGCTGGCACTGGCCTTTGCCGGCCCTGTGCCCACACTCCGCAGTGACGCACACCCCAAAAAGCCAGCCTCACCCCCGGCTTGCCACGCCGTCGCTCTGCCTTCCCCGCAGGTCTGGCGGTCGAGGAGATCTGAGCCGGTCGGCGCAGCGGCTAGTGGTGGGCTAGCTGCAGCAGCGGCAACCCCTGGTAACCGCGACTGGCAATGATGGGTGCGTCATGCGCACCGGGGTCCATATGAGCAGTGCATTAGCCAGCAGCGGCAGCAGTGGCATCCGTCAGGGCGGCATTATGACCAGCAGTTGCAGCAGTACTAGCAGCAGCAGCGGTCACAGCGGCCTCCCCGTCCACCATCACCACGGTACTCACACCAGCAGCACCAAGGCAGCTGATAAGATACTTTCCTGTCAGGCAGCCCTAAAGGGCCATATCATGGACCTGCTGCAACATCCTTGCATTCATCCAAGTATTGGGGTTTCATTGGAAGCCGACACGCAGTTAGGGGTTGAAGGCAGAGTTCATTGCAGACGATGACAGCGGTACCAAAAACCCTGCATATCGTAACAACGTGCGGACGCGGTCGGGCAGTGAATAAAGATGTCTGCACAAAAAGCAGCTGGGGGCCCTGGCGGGGGGCTGTATGCATTGCTGTGAAGCGGCTGATGTGGGGGACCACCTGGG